TGGCACTTGTAAAGAAATAAACGACACAAAAAAGGTGACCATGGAATCTTTGAGAATCGAAACTGAAATTAATAGCGAGTACATTCGGGATAGCGGCTACAATCTTGTCGAAATGTGGGAGTGTGAATGGAAAAAACTGCAACTTGAAAGTGAAGAAGTAAGGCAGTTCGTGAAGAAGTACACGCTCCCCACCGAACACAGGTATCTGCTCACGTTCAACGAGATCCTAGATGCAATTCTCAACGACAATCTGTTTGGATTCGTTGAGTGCGATATAGAAGTTTCGCTTGAAATAAGATCAAAATTCTCCGAAAACACTACGATTACCCGAGACGACATCGGGTCGTACATGAAAAATTTCGCGGAGGAAAATAAAATAATGAGCAACCCGAGACGTTCGTTGGTTTGGAGTTTTTTCGGCGAAAAAATCGTTTTGGCAACCCCGCTGATAAAATGGTACTTAGAACGCGGTCTTCGCGTGACGCGTATCCATCAAGTAATCGAATACACCCCAAAGGCCTGTTTCAAGCTTTTCGGAAACGCCGTCAGTGACGCTCGTAGAGAGGGCGACAGGGACAAGACAAAAGCTATCGTCGCTGACACCATGAAGCTCATTGGTAACTCGGGCTACGGAAAAACAGTGACCAACAAAGAAAGGCACCGCGACACCAAGTATTGTGGCGGGGCAAAAGCTTCCCAAAAAGTCAACAGTCACCGTTTTCGACGTTTAGATCAAATTACAGACGATGTGTATGAGGTTGAATTAAACAAAAAAATCATCAAATTCGACCTTCCTCTACATATAGGCGTGATGGTGTATCAGTACGCCAAGCTACGCATGCTAGAGTTTTACTACGACTTCATGCTAAAATTCGTGGATCCGTCCGATTTTCAATACTGTGAAATGGACACGGATTCTGCTTACATTGCCTTCTCGGCGGACAGCTTAGAAGACGTAGTAAAACCACACATGAGAGCACAGTACAGAGCCGAGAAACACCTGTGGTTTCCGCGCACTGATACCCCAGAGCACGAGGCCTATGACAAACGGACGCCCGGGTTGTTCAAAGCCGAGTGGGTCGGTGACGGAATCGTTGGTTTATGTAGTAAGACATACTATTGTTTTGGGGAAGGCGCCAAACCAAAATTTAGCTGCAAAGGGATCAATAGGAAATGTAACAATATCAACGAACACAAATACTTAGATATACTATTAAACAAAGAGAGTGGCAGCGGTGTCAATAGAGGGATGCGTTTATTTGACAACACTATGTATTATTACGTACAAAAAAGAGACGCCTTTAGTTATTTCTACTGTAAAAGAAACGTGTTAAACGACGGAGTGTCTACTGAACCCTTGGATATCTAGTGTCATCAAATAAATAATTGTTGCTGCGAATTTTACTTTGTTTTCAATAAATATTCTTCAAATAAAATATTCGTAAAAGTTGCTGCTGCGTTTACTGTGTTAGTGGGTAGCTTAAAATAGCAGAATATTCCTGAAAATCACTAAAGGCTCGAGTTAAAAGTTTGTGTTGCTTACGTCACAATATCAACCTTTGATAACCCGGTTATTGTTTTCCCAGGCCTTAATTGATATACAGTGCTTGTCAAATATTTGATAATCCTTAAGTCTCGCGCTTGCAAATGTCCTACTTTGATAAGGCCATAGAGACGCGATGCGGCCAACTAGGTCAACTTGAGAGCGAGGCTGCTCTCACCTCATTCTGTACCTCTTTTTTGTGCCATATAATTGCATTGAAATTTTCAGAAAAAGTTGGTTGAACGGTGCATAACATACACAAACCTTTGTTAACCAGGGTAATGTGTCCCCATGCCTAACTGATATACAGTGCTTGTCAAATATTTGATAATGCTTAACACATGCTAGGTCTCGCGCTTGCAAATCCCCTATTCTGATAAGAACGCAGACACTCTGTGCGGGCAACTAGGTCAGCTCGCGCATGCAAATCCCCTATTCTGATAAGAACGCAGACACCCTAGAGGTCAGCTTGAGTGCGTGGCTGCTTACACCTGAATACACCTCATTTTGTACCTCTTTCCTGTGCCATATAGTTGCATTGAAATTTTCAGAAAAAGTTGGTTGAACGGTGCATAACATACTACTACCGTAGTCAACGCTTTGTGCACGTGCATAACTTATCAATAGTTTCATTTTTTTTTTCAGAAGACAGAATATGAATAAAATTAAGCTGTCAAATGATAGTATCCCTTTATATATTTTGTTTCCGAGAGAGAGAGAGAGAGAGGGAGGGAGATATCAATAAAATAAACCCATCAAACCTAAACCCATGTAATAAAATGTGACGCGTTCCTACTTATTATGATTAACTGACTAGCAACATAATGTGTGGGATTGGGTTCTTATTCTTATTTAACATGTCCCTGAAAAGTATTTAATCGTGTAATTTAACAAGCATAACCCACTATCAACTTGGCACTTAGGAGATTGAATCAAGGACGTGAAAGATTTTGTTCCTGTGCTAACTTATCTGGCAGTTGGCATGTATCCTCCCCAACGTCTACACCAAGTCTATATATAAACCAATACTTTTGGAGAGATAAATGACTGTGGAATGGTGTGCTCCTAGTATCATTTTATTATCATCAAATTTCACAAAAAATACACAAAATGTGCAGGCGGGCTTCCCATAGACTGATAACAATGCACTAACATTGATAGGACCAGTCAGCATCATGTTATACAACTGACAAGCGGGTATTGCAACATATTGATGCTGGTTTATTCTTGTTAAAATACACATTTGAAAACTTCCCAGGGACATATTATTAGGATAAGAATCATGGTGTCTGTTTACATTTCCATGCATAACACATTCTTGGTAAAAAAGGTTGTCCCATTCAAATCTGTTTTGTGGAATGTTGTCCCATGATTCCTGGCAATCTTGGTGGAATTGGTCCGGACTATTTGGAGTTAGGTTCTTCTCTGGATTGCACATTTCAATTCAGAACTAATGATATAACAGTACCATAAACGAGCACATTTATGCTAAATGTGTGTAAATTTAGTGATATTTGGTGGTGTATTTTCAATTTATTTTAAGTTATTTGTCTTTGGGGAAATGACAGTGAAACGATGCATCGTATATCATAAACATTCTCTGTCGAGTTCTGATTGAACTTTTTCACTTTCATATGTCATCACTGTTATTCCTTGCACTTCACAGACTGTGCCATGCTTCATTAGCTCCCAATGAATTATTATCTACCATTCATCTGTTTATGATGTTCTTCTCAAAGATAGGGAAATTACTGTTTAGGAGATTCCATTATTGAGAATTTACTTGGAAACTTCTTTGCTGGCCTCAGCTTACGGCAGATTTTTTTCCGGCTTCTTACACGTAGAACAAAGGTGTATCATCCATCCTATTCTAATAACTATAAAATATCCTATTTTCAATGCTGGTTTTACACTACAGTATACATATCCTATTTTCAATGCTGGTTTTACACTACAGTAAACCACAGTTAACAGCCCATAGTATGATGATACTGGCTTTTACATGTAACATGCTCGACAGTTTGTCGATTTCCAAACCATTTTATGTGCATTAACTCTGCATATTCGTAACAAAATAATTTCCAATGGCCAAATCCTTTAGTTGGTGTGGGGGTGGGGGAGGGAGTTTATCCATTCGAAATTGTTTGAGTGCATTTGTTCACCAAGGACCAATAATAACTTTTTGGGTACTTGTTTGAGGGCATTGTTGGCGAGAACATACTGTCGACTGTTGCCAAAAAAGTATGATAAATGTAAGAATATTTTGAAACTGATACACCAGCATTGATTTTAAAATGACACTGGTGGACAACGAACATTTTATATTCATTATTATTTATAATGTCATAAGGAAGTGTCATGCCAATTCTTGGTATCTCCTCAGCGTCATTATATGTTGAAAAGGCAATGCAATAAATGCGTTAACTGCGCATGCGTTATTGAAAATAGACTGGAATCAACCACCAGCGACGTGCATTAACTGTGTATGTGCGTCATTATATGTGGACAGATGAATGGTCCCGACTATGACTACTTCATTAAATAAGAATCACTGTTTTTAATGGGGGGGGGGGGGGAGACATGGAAACTTACATTTCAGATATGTATACATTTTATTGTTATTTATCATGACAAAATGACGTGTCATGCCTATTACTGGTATCTCATCATGACATGTCCATGTTTTCAGACACTGAAATGCACCTTCGCAAGAATGGTATATACCCCTGTACCTTTATAACGTCTAAAGTCACGTGTTACTTTGCGAATACGTTTATAACCATTGGTCTGGCAATGTCTTAACTGCTTTTTGACTTAGAAAATAGACCTGTTAATGTAAACCTATCAATGTTTTAACTGTGAGATTATTATCAGTGTTATTTTTAACATATTGTTTCTTTAAGGAAATGTGAGTTGCTCAAGGTGAAAATAATGCAATTGTGATTCTCTCGCAATTATTGCTCAAGTGAAAGTTGCATGAAAGAAATCTCTACATATCACAACATTTAATATACAGTTTTCTATACTGTGTTTTGTCAGAAACGTGTCCTTTTTTAATTTTCATTTATTTCCACGGAGTTTGTCGTGTATTTACGACAAATAATACACTGCATTGACTTTGAATCACTGTTTTAATGCTTTAATAGTTGGTTGAATTAGGTTAAAATTGGTCTACAATGTTTTCAATACTGACAAATAATTTAAAGAATGTTTTTTCATCCGACCTCTGAGGAAAATGAAAATGTTAAAAATCGTTTCAGAAACAAGTAATTCAATGTGAACTATTGACGTTGGGGTTCATAGTTATGACCAAAGTGACGTTGGACAGAAAGATTTAAAAAAGCAAATTGATAAAATGAGTCTCTTGTCCACGGACTATTTAAGAACCATGCACCAATATCCGTTTATTAACCAATTATATACCACATTTCTGTGAAAGTCGAATTTCTTATCAATATCAGATTCCGAAAAACCAGGAATCTTTTTTTCGGCTGTAAAAATAATCATGAGCTGCTTTCAGGAATTCTTCCTTATCGATAATGCCATTTTGATTCTGATCGATATACTCAAATGACTTGTCGATGCCTTCTTGAACGTTAAATACCAAACAGAATGTTTTGTGCTCGTAGACGTTGAGCTCTTCGTTGTCGTCACCATCTGCTGCTCGAAAGATGCCCTCTTCCCAATCACTGCTTGATTCTCTTAGGTTTCCTTTGAATAGACGTTTGTGAATCCAAATAGCATCTTTTCTCTCAAAACTGCCTTTGTATTCATTTTCAGAGAAAGACCAAAAATTACCCCACGCTTCGGAAACGGTATCATTGAAGTCATTTATCTTGTCCGCAACAAAATATTTTCTAGCTCTTTCTAAAGTCTTGTCAACATAGTCGTGGCGGTTTACAATTCCGTCCTTGTCAGCATCCAGAATAGAGAAGAAACGGACTATCTTAGCGCGCCACTCGTCCCCTATATCCAGTTCGTCCTGAAGTTTATAAATGAGACAAAATTTTCTCTCTGGTAATACTTAAAATCTAAGGTTTATATGATTTTTGTTCTCTGTGGACAGAGCGAGTGAAACATTCCAAGGCAACGAGTATATCTTTCCACAAGTACATGTAGCAAAAATTTTCAATCGTTCTGAGTCTTCAAAGACGATCTCTTTTAAATGCTATATGCCAACTCTTAATATTAGGTCATCGGACAAAGGATGCGTCAAAGCTAATGACACATAGATGGCCAACAGCTCGAATCTCAAATTTTAGCAGACCTAATATACCACGGCTCTTTAACAAGGAGCTTCAAGAGGTTATGGATCAATTGAACATGTGTGAAGTGCGTGAAAAGTACACTTTTTGAATTAAGGAAAACAAAATATAACAAATATAACTGACTACAGAATATTATTTGATTTGATTTCTATAACTTGGACTTCATAGTCGAGAAAAAGAGCTTGCATATTATGGATTAGGGCGTGTAACGTCCATGAACCATCGGGGAGGGATTGACACGTTTTTTCCCACTGAGGTTCACTGAGGGTCTGCTGTATCGATGTGAGGTTTGGCAAACATCAAAAAAGTCTATTTAAGCACAGTATTTATAGTCTTGATAATAGTATCTCACGCGCGATATAAAACCGTAGCTTTTGGGCACTTAAAGCCTTTACACAGTACCCATCTTGGAGACATATTTTATGGTTGTGTTATAAAATGAACGCCAATCAGAAGCATAGAATATGCCATGTACTCTTCACGCAAATAGTTTTAATTCTGTAAAAATCTCATGGAAAAATACAATACTAAGGACCTTCAAAAATACAAATTGGCAACTTTACTATAAAAATACAATTGTCTCTAGACAAAAAAATGTTTATTTGAATACAAAGCATGTTACAGCACTTGCATATCACGTAAGAGGCCATGTAAAATGTTGTTTTTACCAAGATTGTTTTTTTCTGCTTTTGCTTAAATACTTCAAACATCAACAACCAGCGTATCACCAAAAGGATGATCAAAACGTAAACGGCCCCTCAACAAAGGGATGACAGGTTCGCTTACAATTATGCTAGAATTTCAATGGGTTATTAAAATGTTAAATACGTTGATGTGTGTATTCAGTGCTATACCGTAGAGAGTCGTGCATTTCATAGGTCATCCACGTACATACACATCTCTAAAGTCTAAATAAATGCTTAAAATTGGAAAGTATTATTTTGTAGTCGCTGTGACTCATTCATAAGTTGAAAAAAACAGAATAAATCTCATTGACCTCGTTCTCCAAAATATGTATACTTCATTTATAAGTCTCGACATATTTTGAATGCATCACAACAACAGTTAGTTAGATAGGGGACTTATTGTGTCAAAAATGAAAAACTAGACTTTATCTTTATCTGTGAGCTGTGCACAAAACAAACAGAACGCCTTACCTTCTGACCCTTCTCAGCTCCAGAACCCATTACATTAACAACCACCAACAGCAAGCAAATCACGCGTGGAAGAAACATTTTAATCATCGACTGAACGAGTTAATCGTTTTTAGATCAGCGTTCTATGTGTTCTGTACCGTCTTGAATAAGCGAATTCATTAAATAGACAGTTCCTTGTGGAGAGTTCAAAGGTACATTTTATCCAATCAAGTTTAGCAAGTTTGAGTGCGAGGTTTAAAAAACGCAAACTATTATTGCATCTTATTGAATACACCATGGCCAATTTCGAATTGCTCTTTTAACATAAGTTTGTTCTTGTATATTGTACTTGAGATAGGTCCACATGTCTCTCTAAGTTGCTTCGTGAAATGTAATCATATATATATATATATATATATATATATATATATATATATATATATATATATATATATATATATATATACCTGGTGATGTAGACGTTGGGCCAACTACCGGATTAGGCGCTACAAGTCAGCATAGCAAAAAACCCTCCACTGCCAGACCAGACACTTTATCCTTGATTCAACCTCCTAAGTGCCAAGCACCAAGCGGGGAGACAGCAGGTACCGGTTATGAAGGATTAGCATGTCGATGCCATGTCCCCTAGATCCGAATGCTGACATTAACCCCAAGGCCATATGACCTTAGATGACAACCGACTTATTTATCTATTTATACAACCGTAACTATTTAATTTAACAGCATATAGTCATTATTCCTTAGATTTATTTCTTTACTGCGTCTTTCTAATATCATGCTGGTACGAAATAAAACATTAGATCACAGTGAACGATGTAAGCGGCACGTAGGCTTGGTGTCTTCATAGACGGATGACAATTAGGTAACATTAATGACGGTAGTCAATACAGTGTTATACAGCCGATAAGCGGGTACTGCGACACGTTGATAGTGGGTTATGCCTGTAAAATTACACGACTGAATCCTTTTCAGGGACATTGTACATCAGAATAAGAAATAATTTACATTGCGTCTATGCCCAATCTCATACATGATTTTACTGGTAATTTAAGGAGTAACGCACAACGCGCCACATCGTGCTGATATTGGATGTCATTATATGTACCAAAACTGATTGGGTCTTACTGTGTATTTGCACTTTCCAGAATGCATCGAACACGTTTAACCTTCTGACCATTGCAATTGCCATAAGATAAATGCCAATTTATTCATTAATGAGTTCTATTAACAAACAAAGCAAACCTCAAAGAAGCATTTTTCCCGATAGATCGGTTCTGCATTGTAGTTGTTGGTCAGGCTGAATAAATGGTTCCATTAGAATGTGGATTTTACAAGATGTGTTGTATCCAGTCGCCCTTTTTAAATGATGTTTTAAAAGTAGGTCGTGTATTAAGAACAAATAAGATCCTTCATCAAATAAGAATCGTTGTTTTTAATATTTTAATATTTGGCTGAAATACGTTAAAATTGGCCTTACATGTTTTCAATAGTGCCATAAAATTAAATAATCTTTCCTCCTTCCGACCTAAGAAAATTTTTAAAAAAATCATGAAATTGCTTTAGAAATTGCGAGTAATTAAAAAAATGCTGTTGGACTGCAACATTTAAAAAAAGCAAAATTGAGTATGTTATCATCGGACTATTTAAGAACCATGCACCGATGTTCATTTATTATTCAATTATATGTCACATTTCTTTGAAAGTCAAATGTCTTATCAATATCAGACTTCGAAACACGAGAGATCATCCTTTCGGTTGTGAAAATAATCATGAGCTGCTTTCAGGAACTCTTCCTTCTCGAAGCTACCGTTTTGGTTCCCATTGATACAATTCATAAAAGACTCGTCGATCCCTTCTTGAACGTTAAAATCATGACAAAATATTTTGTGTTGTTGAACACCGAGTTTTATTTCATCCAAATAAGTTCGAATGTGGTGTTGAAGGAAGCAGTTTAAGAAAGGATAACGTCAAATTGAGCCGTATCCAATGGAATAACCCAGGGTCAACGTAAATGACTTGATTCATCAAGAAGCGTTTTAACTTAATAAGTTGAGGCAAAATAGAATGACCGGTGAAAGCGTTATTTCACCTGAGGAAGACACTGTGATAAGGTCGAAATGTAGTGTTGCTCGATCGTTTCAAGTTATATCCAGTATATAGATTCATTTTTTCTCTACATCATGGGCACTTTAATATCACTTTTTTAAGACAATATAAATGACTATTTTTCTTGTATACTTGCGCTTGGCCTGCCTACGTGACATCTTTGACAATATACCTGCAAAAAATTGGCCCTGGTATAGATAGGGTGTAGACGTTTGCGCCTCTCCGAGGTGGATACATCTCAGTTGCCGTCGCGGCACTGAAAGCTAGGTTATAATAACACATATTTTCACTTTCAAAATACCACCTCACCCTTGATTCAACTCCTAAGTACCCAACACCAAGCGTGGAGACAGAGGGTTCCTTTAATGGCCTCATTCAGAATAGGTATCAAATGTGGCCGCGGATCAAATGTGGTCGACCCACTTGAATGCTTGTTGAAATCTATTCAGTGTATTATTCTGAATGAAGTTTTTTATTGGGTCGCCATATTTGATTTCTGGATCTGTTAGTCCACCATTCCAATTTTCGTTCTATGAAAGCGTGCACGTCTCTGGAAAGGGTCGAAACCAAGTCCTCCACCTGTGGGCACTGACAACAAAGCTATGTTGTTGGTTCTTCGTAGATGAAAACATATTTATTTATTTATTTGTTCTGCCCCTGCGAAGTATTTAAATAAATAGAATATACTCAGTATAATAACATCGGATATATTCCTTCACTGCACCTTTTTACTGCCATACTGATACAGGAAAAAGAACTACAACAGATAAACACTGTAAGTAGCACGTACGCATCGTCTTTCCATATGCTGAGAACAATGATATAACATTAACGACAGTAATTAATACAGTGTAATACAGCCGACAAGCGGGTATTGCAACATGTTAATGCTGGCTCATGCTTTCCAAGAAAACACGTTTGCAAATTGCACACTTTTCAGGACCAGGTTAAGCAATACTGCACATCTATAGTGCCTGTACCAAATCCCATACATAATATTACTAGTCAAGTTAATAGCTTAATTACGGGTTTAACAGCGGTTACGATGAGCAACCAAAGCTGCCAATCTTAATCATCTTATAATCATTACCACTATGGTAAGTATTGCGTACTTGCACTTAAGTTGTAGACAGCGCAAGCTATTAAAGTGTCTAGTTTTTTTAATGGCTATGCTGTATGTCAAGGCTGCATGACGTTACAAGATGGCGGCTCCTATTCCCAACTGTTTATCGTGGCAGTGCAATCGTTGAAATTCAGGTTAAACAGGGCTAACTAGAAATAAACTTCATCAAGTTACAGGAAGGATCAGGCTGAACCCCTGTCACGTTACAGTATTATATAAAACAGAGCAAATAATAGTTACGTTATACAGATCCACCGCTAGTTGTTGGCCGCCGAAGCCGACATGGAGCGCTTCTGTGCACTTATTCTGTTAGCTGTGCTGTTGCTGTCAGAGTGCTGTGTGGTTAACTCTATTCCCCAGGGTGAAGGTAAATTACTGATAATTACATTCCATATATTGTCGATGAATAGGAGAACGTTCAATATGATACAATATGACATATGACACACATCAATATGTATCTTGACTGTAATAGGGCTAATTTTCAGTATAATAGTACAAACTGATCTGCCAACTAAATATGGCCGACCCCACTTCAAAAGCGATGCCGATAAATCCATGATGATCTCCTCCACAAGCGCCGTTACTGCAGGGGCCTAGCAATTATACCTCGGAGCCGAGATTTGATCCGTTTATTGGCGCGTGTGGAGGCGGGGAGACCATCGGAAATCAACGGCATCGCTTTGAAGTGTGGTATCGTGTATTCGGTATCTCTGTTAATCATTTACTTTGTTCTACAATTGACCCCTGTGCAGATCTTAAGTTTGTTCTAAAATAGTGACGAAATCGAAACTGTGATTGCTTGGTAAATGTGTAATAACAATTAAGTGAGTGAAATGTTTATGCATGTGGGGTCTCGAACTACTAAAAAGGGTACTGAAAGGTGAATTGTAATGGAATATTCTCATGTATTGCCAAAATTTAATATACTATCAACAAGGGACATCAACACTGACAAGTCTATCGGGTATTCTACAGAAGATTGTATCTCCCTGTACTTCCAATCAAGCCAACTGCAACATCCCCGATTTTGATATTGTCTTCGCATTGGACAGCAGTTCGAGCATTGATGATACCGAGTTTAATATTCAGAAATATGCAACAAAGGTAAATAGGGCCTCTTTAAAACATTCCATTTTTTTTTAATTTTTGCTGGGTGCTGATATACACTGTACGTAATCATCTTCCGTTCTCACAAGTCAGTGATCTTACCATGGACTATTTCTAACGTGTTTTGATTATTATTATTTTTAGTTATAAAGGAAACATATGGGGCGAGCGTCGGCCCATTTTGTTATCTTTCTGTGTACAGCTTGGTTTAATTGTAATCATGTTTTGGGTAATAAGAAATGGAATTAGAATGGTTCCTCTCAGGCTGGCTTGTTCTCTAGTGTTTTATAGGGTGACGTACAGAGTACTTGACGTGATAAAGTCGCATCAAATATTTTAAATATATATATATGATTCCATGTATTCTTAATCAATATGCCTTTACCATAGCTCAGTTGCGTGGTATGCATTGGCGACAGCTGTTCCTTTATTTCTCAGATGATTGCTGAATTCATCAATAGGCATAGTCCCATTACCCCCGATGGAACCCGGGTTGGTGCATTGACGTTTGCCACTGATGTGGTGAGAGAGTTCGAGTTGAATGAACACACTGATTTGGCCACCGTTCAAGGTCACATCGACGCGATTCACAAGAGAAGTAAGTCCATTTGTTTCCTCGCGCTCTTTCCTCTCTCTCTCTCTCTCTCTGCCATAAACATAAACACGCGTACACACTGTCTCTCTCTCTCTCTCTCTCTCTCTCTCTCTCTCTCTCTCTCTCTCACGCACATACACGCACGCGAACACACACATACATTATTACAAAAGCATTTATTTCTCTCTTTCTCTTTCTCTCTCTCTCTCTCATATACACATACACATGGGCATACACTTACTCTCTGTCTCTCTCTCTTTCTCTACCTCTCTCATGAACATAAACGAGCACACACCCATACACTGATATATTTTTCTCTTTGCAAGTGGGAGCTACGAATACAAAAAAGGCTTTGCAGACTGCGAAGCTCATGTTTGAAGACTTTTTCATAGAAAATAAACAGAAGCTAATATGGCTATTTACTGAAGGGTTGTTTAACCAGGGCGATCCACGACCAACAGCAACGCAAATTAAGGAACAAGGTCAGTATATCCCTGAAGTCTGTATTGCCAAAATGATCAAGTCAACATTCGGACTAAGGGACCATTCCCAGACCGTCTCTTACAAGCTGTTGATCGATCCCTCTCCTAGGGGACTCCCTAAATTGCAAACAACTGAACCGACTTACATGTCTGACACGTCCACTGAAGCTGTTAGAGGGTAATTGAAATTGAAATTATCGTTTAGCAGCTTTAGTAACTTTAGCAGCTTAAGTACCTTTTGGTTTGAAATATAGGCTACTGTGATAACCTTATCAGTGAATGTATAATTATATTTTGAATTTCTTATTAAACGCCAAATGCAGTCAACAAAATTTCAAGTGATATTCTCTCTTTTCTGATGAGACTATAATTGATGTGACCCCTGAAATATGCCCAAAGTTCAAATTCATATAGTTACCACTTTATATATATATAATGTCAGTTACTGAAAGAACAAAAACGCTTACTTTAAGATTTCATTCCTTATACCTGTAAATCTATGGGTGCATTCCCAGAGATTTAGTTCGATCCAGAGATTTAGATTTAGATCGACCTAACTCCCTTGGAGTTCACGCTAAATTGCAGACTGCCGAGCGCGCTCCATAGTTAATTACCCCCTTACAGCTTTTAGTAGGCGGGACAGACGATTAAGCCGGCTAAACTGACAGTAATCTAGTGAGACTCCCCACAGGGATAGATTGATCTAAAACCTATGGGAACGGAGATCGATACAGTTGCTCTGGGGCCCTCGCTGAATGCTTTCAATTGAACTGATAAACACCCCTGCCCTGGCGTTCATATATATATATATAGGGCCTATATATATATATATATATATATATATATATATATATATATATATATATATATATATATATATATATATGTTTCTGATTATATTATTTATCAACTCATTAACTTTATATATTTCCAGGATGGATTATCTGCGTGGTTGTCATAGGTAACCATGGGAATGTAGATGGAATTGACGACCTAGCATCTCCAGGATGTGTTGTCGAAATAGGAAATTTTGCAGAGTATGTTTAAATCACAAGAAAAGCACAGTGATATTTATGGTTAACTTTTCGTGTCTTTTGGACTCGCAATAACATCCACTAAATGTACGAGATCCGTTCAATGCAGACATTGTTTGCGCATTATGTAAGCCATTGTAATAGAACAATAATGAAGACTAAACCACCACTATCAAAAGCATTTTAAATAAATGGCAACACCTTGGTCATCAGGGTGTAATTTATCTCGTGTTTATGTTCCTAAACTTTTTGCCTGGTGCCTGGTGAGTAGAATCCCAACATTTATTATTTGCTTAATTTTCTAACGACAAGAAGCCCTTGCCTGTCACATTATGATTGAAGGACAACTAACACATCATATAATCTACATGCACTGAATAACTAAGTAACTAAACACCACACTTAATAGTTTGCTAACTGATTAACTACCCACCAACTGCATTATCACCGACTTACCAAATACCTGATCTGGCAACAGACTAACTCGATACTAAATAGTCAGTAGTACATTACAGAGTTATAACATCTTTGTGAATATTAGACCTTACAAAGAAAGCGTGTAACGTTCGTCACATACCAATAAAAGGTGCTAGGACGTATTTTTTTCCTTTCTTAAAATAATTGCTCATAATGCACTTAGATTTTTAAGGCATAAAAGTTGCGCAGGGGAACAACTGGGTGTAGACAAAAGTCAGCAGTTTTCATTTCTTGGTATTAGCTGCATGTGGACCAGGGAACAAACATCTCAATCGTATACTTATAACACTTTTTTGCCTACCCTTGGTTATTTATTTATTATTATTATTATTATTATTATTATTATTATTATTATTATTATTATTATCACCAGCAATTCATCACCGGGCTGAACTTAGTTATGCAAACCCCATTAACAACGTGTCAGGTGAAAGTGGATATTCAGTGGTAAAGGACTGTTGATTCACCAGAGATGCCCTGATCAAATGTGTCTTAAGAGCCTGCAGAGACAAAATAAAATAATATTATTACTCTTTTATTAGACCATGTCCAGAAAGTTGGCGGTCATTTTAGGAACATCTTGCTTTCCTACAAAATACCCGTACTGACATTATTTCGTAATCAATGTGAGAGTAAAGAACTTATCTGTAAACATGCGCTCAGTATTCAGATGGCAAGGCCAAATTTCAAAACGTAAAACCCAACGCACTGCGCTGCCATTAAACTTATAGCAACATGGCCAGAGCCAAAAAAAAAAAAAATGTAGTCTCAAAGAACATGTACATGGCAGAAATAAAACATTTAAGGAGCGCATGTTATGGTCGACCATGGCTCACTTAGGGACTATTCTCACACCCTATCGTATTATCTGTGGATCGACCTATTTCCAATGGGACTCTCGCTAAATTACATTCAGCTTAAGCAGCTTAGATGTCTGTCTCGCCTACAGAAGCTGGTAGGGGGGTTATCAATCATCGTTTAGCAGCTTCAGTAGGCGTGTCAGACATCTTCGACTCTTAAGCTTAAAACAATTTAGTGAGAAAACTCTCGGAGATGGATGGATTCTGTTAGATTCTATGTGTGAAAACCCAGTCATACACCCCATTTCCATAGATTAGATAGACCTACTTTAGATCGACCTAACTCCCTAGGGGTTCACGCTAAATAGCTGTCAGCCGGGCGGACACGAAAGTTAATTACCCCCTTAAAGCTTGTAGTAGGCGGGACGGACATTTAAGTCGGATTATCTGAAAGTAATCTAGTGAGACTCCCCGCGGGGATAGATCGATCTAAAATATATGGGAATAGAGCCATAGACTATCATTACAACAGACAGCTATGTACTTGAAGTCTGCGTTGGGATTCCTGTGTTCTTAAGGACTTTTGTTCCAATTTCATACATTACTTTGTATTTTGAGACAAACCGATTGCAGGTTTTGGTTCGAGTTGTTCCGCGCTTTGCTATTCGTCTTGATACAGGTTAAATATTGACGTTTAAATTTGAGGCTTTGCATGGCTTCGCCAGCAATGCATTACCGGAGTGGATTGAGTAATCATTGCATTCAAAACCTATAAACAACGTGTCTGGAGGGAGTTGATATTCAGTTACGAGGGTCTTTTCATTTACCAGAGACGCCCTAATCAAAAGTTAATATTTGTCTTTAGAGCCTGCAGGGACAATAGAGAAGAAGAGTACTACTCCTTCCTGATGCCTTACCCAGAAGGTTGATGGTAATTTTTGGAACATCCCACTTCAAAATATCCATTCGGACACTCTTTAAGTAGTAATCAATGTGAGAGTAAAGGAGTGGAATGTAACGATGCGGTTTGTATTCAAAATGTAAAACCCCACATATTACGCTGCCATTAAACTTATAGCAACATGGCGCAATGTTCTTGTCATCCTTTGTATTTCACTCAAAGCCATGTGTGTTTATTTTCTAACAAGGCGCCGGGCGCAATAATTGTCTCATTTTACTCCTCAGTTGTAGGTTTGTCAAAACCTTGTTGTCTCAAAGAACATGTTCATGGCAGAAATCAAACATTTAACGAGCGCACTTTGAGGCATCATGGGTCACAAGGGCTGCATTTAGACTGTCATTACAACATACAGCTATTTCCTTCAAGTCAACATTGAAGTTCCTGTTCTTGAGGAATTTTGTCCCAATATCATACATTTCTGTGTATTTTCAGACAAAGAAATTGCAAGAATTGGTTCTAGACTTACCACGCTTTTAAATTGGTTTTGATACATTGATTTTTTTTTTAATCTGGAGCGCAAGGATAGTCTTGGGGAAGCTATGTTTAAACGTGGCCGATAAGTCTACATATTTCCCCTCAATTAATACAAAAGTCACATATGATACCTTGTACTAGACTACCATTAAATTCGTCTTTGGCGGTTACATTGGCCATTGGCAATAACAACACAATAGGTGTGCCAGCAGCGCATCCGTTCTTACTATTATATAAGACAGAGCAGCTACTAGTTACGTTACGTTATACAGATTACACTGGAACCGATATGAAGAGATTCTGGGCACTCATTCTGGCTGCTGCTTTGTTGCTGAACGAGTGGTGTGTGGTTAACTCTGTTCCCCGGAGGAATGGTAACCCGCACAAAAATGCAGTAGTATCGAAGTAGCAAAGAAGCATTAACGCAGTAGTGGTGTGGAGCATATTTGCTGTAGAAATGCAGTATACCCTACTGCATTTCTACTTCAAAAATTACATAGGGATGTACAGAGGAGGAGCATTAATGCAGTAGATTAGCAGCATGATAGAAGCATGTTTCAAATATGCTAATTAGCTCCCAATGCGAAGCAGATTTGAGGCATATTTGCAGTATGATTGCAGTAGTCTACTGCGCTGGAGCATCTACTGCGTTTTCGTGCGGGAAGTTATTGATAATTGCATTCCATAAACTGTCAATTAATAGGAAAACGTTTAATATGATAAACCGTGTACCTTGACTGTTATACTTGATAGAAAAGTTTGCATCTATACCCCACCTTTGCAATATTTCTCAGTATAAGTATATTTTTTCGGTACACTTTCATAAAAAATACTGACACCCAATTACGTATATATTATAATACGCGTTAAATGCAGAAGTAACATAAATTCATGGTATATACTGGCTTACTGAACAATGCACAAATTTCTTGAAAAAGACTGATAAGGAAATATTCGTGCATTAGGTATCACTGTTAGTCATTTACTTCGTTGTAGCCATTGATACATTTTGCATATAAATTATTTTCCCTAAATGACAAAATGGACAACGTGATTTCTTTGTACATCGTAACTGTATGGTAACACTTACGTGATTACAAGATGTTTTTGCATGTACGCTCTCTATCTCTTAAAAAGGGGAGTAAGATTTGAAAACAAAATCCATATATTGCATACAAAGGGAATCAGAATCTTTCTATTTTTAATTTAGAGTTCAAACTGGAAGTAGCTAGAGGGCAAATACTTAAACCAATCTCTTACTTCTTTAAAAATAATAATAAAGAAAAAATATATCTTGCGACTTGGTTAATATGTAAAGTCATGTACTCATTGCGTTTACTCATCGGAAACTGTTCGCTTACTATGATATATTTAAAAATTGTATCGCAACTGTATTGCATTTATCGCTATTATTTAACATACTATCAACAAGGGACATCAACGACGGCAAGTGAGCTTTCGGGTATTTTAAAGAAGATTGTGTCTCCCTGTACCACCGAGCAAACCAACTGCAACAACCCTGATCTCGATATTGTCTTCGCATTGGACAGCAGTTCGAGCATTAATGATACTGAGTTTAAGGCGCAGAAATATGCAACAAACGTAAGGGTTCCTTTGATAACACAAAATACAATATGTAAAATAATTTTCCATTTTTAATTTTAACTTACTCTTACTTTGAATTTAATATAAAAAAATCCAAAGAAACTTAGTTTCCCTGTTCCGGATACCGTTCCCACACGTCAGTGATCTTACCATGGGCTATTTCTAATGTGTTATAATTATTATAATACGATATAAAAGAAACACCTGGGGCGGGCATCGTGCCATTTTTATTAAGATATTTTCACCATACTTTGAGCAATTAGATGTTGGATGAAAATGGTTGGCTTATTATATACGTGCTTTTTAGGCATTATGCACAGTGTACAAAGTGAGATAAAGCCACATTACACAACTTGTTAAAATGAAGTCTTTTACTTTGACACCATAACGTTAACATATTTCATTTCATGTATTCTTGATATGCCATCTTTGTAGTTAAACTGTGAATTTATTGAATAAATTGAAAATAAACATGCCCTTTTTTCTCAGATGATTGCTGAATTCATCGATAGGCATAGTCCCATTGCCCCCGATGGAACCCGGGTTGGTGCATTGACGTTTGCCACTGATGTGGTGAGAGAGTTCGAGCTGAATGAACACACTGGTTTGGAATCTGTTCAAGGTTACATTGACGCGATTGGCAGAAGAAGTAAGTGAATCTCTTTTTTCGCCCTCTTTCTTCTCTCTTTCTCACTTTCTCTCATTCTCTCTGTCTACCTGTCTCCTTCACTCACATTCATACACACATATTACATTATTACAAATTTCATTATTACAATCATTTGTTTTTCTATTTACAAGTGGGAGGTACAAACACAAAACTGGCTTTGGAGACTGCGCAGCTCATGTTTGAAGATATGTTCTTAGAGGAAAGCTGGAAGCTAATCTGGCTACATACTGACAGTATGTCTAACCTGGGCGATCCTCGACCAAGAGCAACAAGTATAAAAAAACAAGGCTAGTATACACCTAGAGTTTGTTTTGTCAAAATGATCAAATCAACATTCAGTCTAAGTCAAGACATGCGTAACTCTAACCGGACTAAGATGTTGTTTCGCATGTTATTAGAAATGTTGTGGGTCAATCGTTCTGTAAAGGCCCAGTGACCAATATTGTAGTTAACTTTTTTCCGTACCTGATTTAGCAATATTCAAAAAGGTTCCACTTCATGTTTAAAATATAGAACACTATGATCATCTTATTAGTGAATATATATATATGTGTGTGTGTGTGTGTGTGTGTGTGTGTGTGTGTGTGTGTGTTATTTTCATTTTTTTAATCCACATTTTGTTGAAATGAAACAACAAATACAATCAGCCTATTTTCAGGTTTTCAGTCCTCTTATTTGATAAGGTCATTATTGATGTGACCCTTGAAACAGGTCCACAGTTCAAATTAATATAATATAGTTGTTTGGATAATTTATATTTTCTGTCGCCTTTATCTATCAGTTCATTTTCTATATTTATTTACAGGATGGATTATCTGCGTGGTTGTTATTGGTAACCATGAGAATGTAGATGGAATCGACGACATAGCATCTCCAGGATGTGTTGTCAAATTTGGGAGTTTTACAGAGTACGCAAAAGTCGCAAAAAAGGCTCAGGGCCCAGATCAGTTTGATGAATTTGGTTACCAAGGATAACGCTTAGTGTCTTTTGGACTTGCAATAACATGTATTGTATGTACGAGATTAGTTCAATGCAAGACATTACGAAAGCCACTGGAATAAAAACGATGACAAGGACAAAATCACCACTATGAAAAGCATGAAGCATACTGATCACTTTAAATAAATGCTATCACCTTGGTCATCAGGGTGCAATTTATCCCGTGTTTATGTTCCTTAACTTTTTGTCTGTTGCGTTGCAATTGCCTTGGATTTCCAAATCGTTTTTTTCTTCGATTAATGGCGGATAAATAAAAGGAACAAAAATATATATATACAGTGTCGTTGTGACATTTATTCTTTAATTGACTTTCTCAAAGAAGCAAACAAAAATACACGACTTTTTTATTGATATCAGAAAATTATGCAAATAATGTGCCGTTAAAAAGGTACGCGAGTGATACGTCTGCCCTCTTCTTGCTGCATGCCCCAGGACTCTCAAGCTTTGACGAAATTTTAGTAACTGTATCTGTAAGATTCCGAATAGGATGACACATAACACTCTCAGACTGATGGAAATTGGTGGATTTGTTCACTATAGCCCAAACCAACATAACGGATATTAGTTTCTTAGTAGCACATAATAATTACCACCTGGGATGGAAAAATCCAGATTACAATATTTCAAGTTCAGCTATTTTTGAATGCATAAATCACAAAATTGGATAAATTAGCTTTTTTATTTTAAGACATTGTTAAATATCATGACATATGGATTTAAAAACAGACAATTTAAGTGTTTCTGCTCTCCTTTAAAAATGAAAAAGAAAAAAAAATACTTAAACTTTACAAAATCTGTAAGTGTCACTTCCCGATGTCCCTGTTCAATTGTTTATTCACACAGAGCTANTAGCTTTTTTTATTTTAAGACATTGTTAAATATCATGACATATGGATTTAAAAACAGACAATTTAAGTGTTTTTGCTCTCCTTTAAAAATTAAAAAGAAAAAAAATACTTAAACTTTACAAAATCTGTAAGTGTCACTTCCCGATGTCCCTGTTCAATTGTTTATTCACACAGAGACTGGTACTTAAGTATTATTGCTTTAGTTGGTATTGCTTCGCAATTATACCGATAGATGTCTCTGTAAGTCAACTGCAGCCCCGTGTGCTAGTTTGATTCTCTTTCCTCAACGTTGCCTGATCTATCCTGAAAAATAATAATTAAATGTCAGTGTAAGAATCAGGGGCTCACCTATAAAAACACATAAAAACACAGCAAGATAACTGGAAGATAAATAATTATTATGGATAAAATGAAATTATTATAATGATAAATATAATAATTATGTAATAGGAGAGGAGGGCCTGGCACATTGGAAGACGGCTGTGGGGAGGAACAGGCAAAGCTCAAACAGAGAGGGTGGGCGAAAGACTGATCAAATGTTTGAATATATAAGTTATCAATTAAGAATGTTTAAACAGAGTCAAAAATGTAATCGTTCTGACGACAAGGTCTGTTCAAGGGCCTGAAAAATTTTGGTGGTTTGGAGGGCAAACAGTGCCCTTTGGTAAGGTTCATCTATAATTAAGCTAGTCAAAATTCTAATTTAAAGAGGGGAATATTAGTGTGATATATTTTTCAGAGAACGAAGGGGGGGGGGGGGGGGGGGGCAGGGCCCCTCCTAACCCCCCCTCTAAATCCGCCACTGATTGGGTAGTTAATCAGTGAGACAACTGCTCAGTGTGATATTTTGTTACTTTGTTATTCGGTAGGTTATATGATGCGTCAGTTGTCCTTCACTAATGATGTGACACGGTTTGTGGTCGATAGACATTGAAGCCACTGATAAAGTTAAAGAGATTCCCAGACAGGGGTAGTCACATAACAGGGATATAAACCACTGTTAATATCATGAGACCTTTCAAACAAACCGTGTAACGTTCATCAGATACAAGTACCATAAATGGTTGTTGTGGCCTTTTTTCTCCTTTCTTAAACTTATTGTTCTTAATGGATTTGAATCTGTTATTAACGGCATGAAAGTTGCTCAGGGGAGACAATTGGACTGTAGATAACAGTCAGTCGTCTCCATTTCCTTGAACCAGCAGTGGACCAGTGACCTTAATCCTGTATTTTTCCTGATATGTGGTATATTTCCTATTCTTCTTCCTATTCTTCTTCTTCTTTTTCTTCTTCTTCTTCTTCTTCTTCTTCTTATTATTATTATTATTACATATTATTATATAAACAACTTGTCGGGTGGAAGTGGAAATTCAGTCGCAAATGACGGTTCATTTACCAGAGACACCCTGATTAAAAGTGTCTTTAGAGTCTGCAGGACCAACGTAATTATTACTGTAGAGCCGCATTTTGCAACCGACCGCATTTGAAAGTGCTACGCATTTTGCAACCAAAGAAAATCGTAAAAACGCATTTTGCAACTGCAACACATTTTGCAACTGCAACACATTTTGCAACCAGGTTTTTTTCTACGTCCCTGGAACAGTTTGAACTACGAAACAGGTAGAATTGGAGTGGGGACGGGTTTGCTTCGACTAGGTACGCTGAAACTGGTCAGGTTGCCTCTGGGGCGGGGAAAATATATAATATATATTTCTCATTGGGATTTTCTAGACCATTAGAGTTAAGAAGTTGAAGCGTCAGGGCATAATAAAGACATTGTTAGGTATGTACATAGGCACCTTTTAATTTGTAAATTGGGGGTGTGACAGTTTCTTAGGGGTTGTTATTTGTAATTTTTACATTGTATTTTCTGTTATCTACCTTTATATCTTTTGAATAAGAAAATAAAAGTGTTGGGAATTAATACACTATCGTAAAAAATGTGCCTGGGCTCTTCAGATTTTTTTGTGACTTAGCGTGTGGTTGTCCCTGAGGGTAGTTGAGATCGTTAGAGATATGTTTATAGGCACATCGGAATTTTTGGTTACTTGGGGAGTGGCCGTCCCTGGGGATAGTTGACTGTAATATTTTCACCGCAATTTCTTTCATCTCCTTCTAGACCATTCGAGTTAGGAACATGACTCTTTAGTGCATGGGTACGGGGGAATTTTAGTGTGACTTCTGGTGTGACTGTCCCTGAGGGGATGAGTGATTGGTGGCATATGTCAGACAATTAAGCTGATTTCACTGATTGCACTGAAGTGAGATCCCCTGCAGAGTTGGACCGACCCAGCTAGTAGGATGTGTGAATCTAAAAGCGGTCTTCGAGTTAAGAAGGAAAGGGGATGCAAAGAAAGCAGTATACAGCACTTAATAAGAAACCTTCAGCGGTATGCTTGGATGTAGGTCAAGTTAATTAAAAACCCGTGCAAGAACCCATACTTTCAGGAATCATTGTGCATAGCCTCTGTATACCGACACACCTACTAATCACATGTTTGTTTTGTATTAAGACACAACGGCTAGTTGAACGCCAGGATTTCTGAGTGTGTAGGGCCTTGAATGAGTTTTCTATTGGATTCCTTGACCTAAATTCATGCCTACGGCTGTAAGTCTGTTTAGTGCCATGTGCGCTGCTGCTTTTCTCTACATTCCTCAAAGACCCTTGAACAATCTTAAAAAAGTGACTGGTTCATCAATCCCCAACGTTTCATGTCCCAATTTATATCATCAAAAGCCCAGAAGGACCCATACACACCCATAGAAACATGTTTTCAATCCCCATAGCCTCCCGTTCCTAACTTATATGGTATAAAGGTAGACAGCAGAAATTACTACGTCTAATTATATTCAACCACCCCCAGGACCACACCCCAAGTCAAAAAAAAAATGATACTGTAGCTACGTTTCATATTTTTAACTCAAATAGTCGATACAATGGGTAGAGAGCATAAAATGCGTTGTAAACTTAAAATCAACCACCCCCTGGGACCCCATGTCACAATAAATTCCCGAAGTCCCTATAAGCATTTCTTACCTTAGTGTAATAATCCCCATTATATTTCCTAATTCTAAAGATGTAAGAGTAGATAGGAGAAAATACGAAGTAAAAACTACAATCAACCACCCCTAGGGACGCCCCCCCCCCCAATTTACAAAAAAAAAAAATAAAAAAAAAAAGAAATCCCATGCAAATGCCTAACAAAATGTTTAATAATCGAAGCAAACCAGTTCCCACTCCCGTTCTACCTGTTTCGTACTTCAGACTGTTTCAGGGACTTACAAAAAAAAAAAAAAACAAAAAAAAAAAAAACAAAAAAAAAAAAACTGGTTGCAAAATGCGTTGCAGTTGCAAAATGCGCTTTAACGATTTTCTTTAGTTGCAAACTGCGTTGCAGTTGCAAAATGCGTTTTAACAATTTTCTTTAGTTGCAAAATGCGTTGCAGTTGCAAAATGCGTTCGGTTGCAAAATGCGGCTCTACAATTCTTTTATGAACGTTGGGACATCTTGCTATCCCACAAAATATCCATACTGACACTAAGGCATAATGAATGAGAAAGTAAGGAAATAGTCTGTAAACTTGCGCTTAGTATTCAATCGGCATGGCCACATTCCAAAATGTAAAGCCCAACACACCGCACTGTAATTAAACAGTAGCAAAAATGTGAAATGATCTTGTCATCCTCTGTACATCCCTCAGAGCAATGTGTGTTTATTTCTTTATTAGGCGCCGGACGCAATAATAGTCTCATTTTACTGCACAGTTTTGTAAAAGCAGTTTTGTAAAAGCATGTTGTTGTCTGACAGATCCTGTTCACGACGACAGTTAAATATTTAAGGAGCGAACGTTGAGACATTATGGATGACCATGGCTGCATTTAGACTATCATTACAACAGACAGCTATTCCATACAAGGTCGCGTTGAGGTTCCCGTGTTCTTAAGAAATTTCGTTCCAATTTCATACATTTCAGTGTATTTTCAGACAAAGCCATTGCATGATTTAGTTTAGGCTTTTCCGCCCTTTACAAATCGTTTTGACACAGGTTGACATTTACATTTGGAGCGCAATGACCGTCTTAGTGAAGCGATGTTTGAACGCGACCGGTGAATCTACATATGTCCCCTAAATCATTACAAATGTCACAAACATTTTGAAGTAGACTGCCATTAAATTTATCCTTGGCGCTTACATTGGCCTTTGGCAACAACAGGACATTAGGTGTGCCAGCGGCGCATCGGTTCTTAGTGTTATATAAGACAGCTCGGGTATTAGTTACGTTATCAGATCCAACGCTGGAACCGAAATGAAGGGATTCTGTGCACTCATTCTGACTGCTGTTCTGTTGCTGAACGAGGGATATGTGGCTAACTCTGTTCCCTGGAGTAAAGGTACGTGATTGATAATTGTATTCCATTAATTTTCGATGAATAGGACAACGTAAAATGTAATAAACCGTGCACCTTGTTTGAAATTCTTTATAGGTAAATTTGCACTTATGTCCCAGCTTTGCAATATTTCTCATTATAATAGATATTGAGGTTTATATCAGTACTGTTCATAAAAAAAAAATATTAAAAAAATATTAAAAAATTAACTGACACTGACGTCCTACTCCTACTCCTACATATTCATTACAATAAGCGTTTTAACGCTTATTGTAATGAATATGTAGGAGTTAAAATTCCAAAAGAAATATAATTATGGCATATATTGGTTTATTGATCATCACACAGACTTCTTAGTCGTAGCCACTGATGTCTTTTACAGATCAATTGATTTTCATAATACATATAATAAAACCCTGAATTTTAAGGTGTGAAAATACAAGCTACATATTGCATAAAGGGTGAATTGGAATTATTATATTTATTTATTAGAGATCAAACTGGTAACAGTTAAAGATATAAAATCAATTTTTTGCCAAAAACCCAGCCAAACGCCAGCATATAGTTTCAAGTAGTGTAACTAAGAGAATTACCAAAGGCATTGTTTAATTTTACCTGAAAATGATCTTTGAATGTTTTTTTCTTCTGTTAGCATGTTATGCTATATGTCAATGGGGCAGAAAAGTAGGTCACGAAAGTAGGTTAAATTACTGAACAAAAATTTAAAGAAAGGAGCAGTCAAAAGCTCTTTTACGGCTGATCGAATAATCTATTCAGTTTATCCCTTCGCATGTCGAATTTATTTGAGAGTAAGAAACTAGTAAGAGTAGTTTATATGTGTTACAGGGAATCCAGGCTCCACCGATGCTCAGTTCGTACAGTATGTACCTTTAATAGTAATTGTTTTAAGTTAAATGTCTCTTACGACTTGGTAAACATGAAAACATGTATGATCATAGAAGTCACTTGTGGTGTTTACTCTCGCTTACCATGATATCTGTAATCATACATGTACCACGGCTGGTGCTTCCAACAACGGCATAATTGCATTTGTATTTCGCATACAGGCATACAGGCATGCCTGCATTCTTATTCTCATACAAATCCATTCCAATGCGTTCATTCTATGTATGAAGCGCCAGCCGTGGTATAATTAACTACTCGTCGTCCAGTGTGTCCGACATACAAGAGCAACTTGTATCTCGGTTGCGCTTACGCTCTTACATGTCGCATATAGCGGACGACTCGTGTTATAACTAGTAAATATAACTAGAAAATATAATTATTTATTGCCATAATTCATTATACTATCAACAAGGGAGATCTACGACGGCAAGTGAGCTCGCGCACATTTTAGTGACGGTTGCGGCTCCCTGTACGTTCAAGCAAACCAACTGTAAGAATCCTGCTCTTGATATTGTCTTCGCTTTGGACAGCAGTTCGAGCATTGATGATACGGAATTTAAGGTGCAGAAATATGCAACACAGGTAAGAGTTCCTTTGATAACGCTGAATTCAATATTTAAAAATAATTCTCAAAAGACACTTAGTTTTACTTGGAATTTAAGATAAAAAAATCACAAGATACACTGCTTTATTTTTCCATAACGCCAGCGATCTTTTTGTGGGTTATTTCATATGTGCTTGAATAAGTGTCATACGTAATACAATAAATATATGTGGCGAGCATCGACTTTTTTTATTTTAATCTGATACAGAGTGGTCTAATTTTAACTATATATATATTTCGTAATTAGATAGTCATTTTGGGATTAGAATGGCAGGTTTGTTCCCTGTGTGCTTTATAGGGGGTGATTCACAATTTACAAACTGTGTTAACGCCACATCATATAACCTGTCAAAATGAATGTTTTAACATGTTTAATTTTATGCATTCTTAAGATGCCATCGTCGTAGGTATGTTGTTAATTTCGGATGTATTAAATGAATTGAAGCCAGACATTCCTTTTTTGCTCAGTTGATCGCTGAATTCATTGATAAGCATGGTCTCATTGCCCCTGATGGAACCCGGGTTGGTGCATTGACGTTTTCCACTGATGTGGTCAGAGAGTTCGAGCTTAATGAATACACCGACTTGGCCACCATTAAAGCTTACATAGATGCGATTGACAATAGAGGTAAGCCCATTTCTTTTCTTTGCCGCTTTCTCCTCTCTGTCTTTTTCTCTCTGTCATAAACATAAACACATGCACACACTTACCCTCTCGTTCACATGCACACACACACGTGCATGCGCTCACATACATACACTACAAACCATTTATTTTTCTCTTTACAAGTCGGAGCTACGAACATAAAGTTGGCTTTAGAGACTGCGCAGCTCATGTTTGAAGATTTTTTCTTGGAAGAAAGTCAGAAGATAATATGGCTACTTGCTGACAGAGTGTATAACCTGGGCGATCCGCGACCAAGGGCAACAAGCATGAAAAAACAAGGTTTGTATATCCCTTTCGCCTGTATTGAAAAAAACGATCAAATTTACATTCAGTCTAAATCACGACTCTGGTGGTTTTAAGCCAACTAAGTTATTGTTTTGCAAATGATTTGAAATGATGTGGGGCAAGCGTTCTATAAAAGACAGTAAATATATAATGCTGTTTTTTTATTTTATTTTATTATTTATTTTACTTATTTTTGTTTTTTTAATGAAGCTGCAAATACAATCAGCCCGCCCATTTTTCACGTTTTTTTTTTTTTTTTTTTTTTTTTTTTTTTTTTATAAGACCATCGTTGATGTGACCCTTGAAATACACTCACAGTTCAAATTAGTATTAACAAACAAACAATAAATATATTTCAGCTTTCGTGGGAATAACTTTATAGTTTCTGTCTTCATCATTTATCAAATAACTAGTTCTCTTTATTTCAAGGATGGATTATCTGCGTGGTTGTTATTGGTAACCATGGGAATGTAGACGAAATTGCCGACATAGCATCTCCGGGATGTGCTGTCAAATTTGGAAGTTTTACAGAGTACGCAAAGGTGGCAAAAGAGGCTCAGGGCCTAGACCACAAAAATATAATTGCCTAACTCTTCGTGTCATTTGGACTCGCAATACCATCAATGTACGAGATCCGTTCAATATAAAAAAAAATGTTTGCACGTTATATGTCATAAAAGAGAACAATGACGAAAACTTAACCACCACTATCACAAGCACGAAGAATACTGATCATTTTAAATAAATGCTATCACCTTGGTCATCAGGGTGTAATTTATCTCGTGTTTATGTTCTTTAACTTTTTGTCTGGCTTGTTGTAATTGATTTGGATTTCCAAANCCCCCCCCCTGTTTTCCCTTTTTCTCTATTAAAATTTAGCCATTTATGGCTCAGTGTAAACACACTCTTTTCAGTACAATGTCACTTTGTGTCTTTTAATTGCAACATGTCAAAATCAGTGCGAGACGAACATGTACGCCCCCCTCCACACTAACATTATAAAATAATAGGCAATGACAATGATGATGATTAAACATGGGGTGTCCAGACAGGATATATTGAAATGGCTGTTGCACAAAAACATCAACCTGATACATTTTTAAAAGTTTGCTCTAATTCTGTTCTACGGATCTTTCCTTGATTAATATGTTTCTTCGATTTTTTCCTATTTTACGACTGATGAATTAAAAAAGAAAATATATATAGTGCATTAATAACTATGAATACTATGTTCAATGCCATTGTGACATTAGTTCTTTAACCTAATTATTGGAGAGGCAAAAAATAAAAATAAAATAAAATACACGGCTTAATTATTCTGATTTAAAACAACCAAAAAGAACTATTAGTATCAAATAATTATGCAAATAAATAGCTGTTAAAAAGTTACGCGACCAACCAAGGAGACTCATACCTGTGTCTATGTAGTCACAAACGCGATCAGTGACACGCCTGGTCTCTTACTGCTGTTTCCAGGACTCTCAAGCTTTGATGAATAATTTAGCAACTGTCTCTGTAAGGTTCCAAATAGGGTGACACATGACCCTCTCAGATTCTGATGGAAAACGGTGCACTTGTTCCTTATTGCCCCTCCTCCTCCCCCCAACCCCCCCCCCAAAAAA